GAAATCTTATATATATATATATATATATATATATATATATATCTTTTTCTTATCCTTTAGCATATATTTCCATAAATCTGCTGCTTTTCATGGTTAGTTAGTTGATGTATATTAGTTTTACTTAATTTTATTTGTGGATGAATTTTGTTATTCTTCCTTTTGCTCCACATTTCTACTCATTGTCTGGTTTTCATTTAGCTAGGGTTTATGGGGTTCTTCAATCTCCCTTCTCTTCCTCTTTTCTTTCATAAAATATAGTTGCCATCTGAATTCTGAGCAACTAAATTGTATAATCAGTTGTTGATCACATTGGTCGATACATATTGCAGTTATCACACTTGTTTTGACTTGTTGGTATTGGTGTATTGCTACTAAATAACTTGGGAGCTATGCTCAAGGTCTATGAAGCATAGACTTTGACATGAACATCAGATACAACATGGACATGGACACTCTAACATGTTTAATGTCCAAAATATGGGACACTGGGATGCTTCATATACATACACACGCTCAAATGAAGTTAAATATGGGCCACATACGTACATATCAAATGGTCTAAATTAATAATCAAGATTTGTTCTAGTGCGTGTTTGGTTCAAGTTAACTTGAAGAAAGAAATAATAACTTAATATCTCAGTGAACATTTGAAAAACAAGCGATTAATTTATTGGAAATAAATAGTTGCCAATCCTACAAAATCCTACAAAATATTTAATATGGATTTGGGCTTAACTAAATTCTACAAAATCGGTTTGTAACATGTGAGGTGTGAATTATACTCTACTTATATAACATTACTTTAATCTTATGACTAGTTGATGTGAAATCTTTAACATATGACATTCTGATTCCTCAACCCAGGGGAGTGTATGTGCTTCATAGCTCGAGATTCTTCTTCATGAGAAAGTTTCCTAACTTTTACAAGATTGTTTCACTGTTTTCCACTTTTTTCCATCAACTAGAGGGGGAATTTTGGAAGCTGGTTTTGCAGACATAATATTTCCTGAAAGCATTCCTTCCTTAATTATTATTCATTTTTCATGATTCCAGATCCTTTTGAACAACTCATTTTTTGCTATGAATTGCAATTTTATTTGTTAAATCTCATCTAGTGAATGTAATGGCGGTTTAATTGGGACCATTGATTGTCATTATTTTGCAATTTTTACTTGATGGCTAGATTAGACAAATTTTAATTTGTGTTCTTTTCCCCACTTGAAAATTCCTTTTGCTTGCAATTAAATTATTTGCTCTAATAATTTCTCTCCCTCACCGACCAATCTTCAATATCTGCCCACATTCAATATATTTATCTGGATAGAATTTCCTTTCTTGATGATGACAATTTTTTTATAATTCTTTTTAGCATGATGACTTGATTACTAATTTAGGCCTTGTGTCTGTCAGTTGTTGTCCGTGATTTATTTTACAACCAACCAGTTCGGAGAAAATACATGCAATCCAGGTTCTTCTTCTCTTATCTCACTATATTAGTGATATGTATTACCTTGTATGAAAACTATTGCCATGTTTTGAATTTTTGGATTGACTGGTGAATTCCATCTCTGAAATGGAAGCCCCAATAAGGTTCTGCAATCAATCAAGAAATGTGTAATGCGACTTGCACTTGTGCGTCCAAATATTTCCTACAAAGTGGTTGATATTGAAAGGTACAATATATCCCTTCAAAACAAGTTGCATCTTCTTTTTCTTGGTTTATTAACATTCTTTTATTCCTTACATGTAGAGGGGATGAGCTCTTTTGCACACATTCTGCTTCTTCTCCTCTACCGCTTATAACCAGTGGCTTTGGGGTAGAGGTCACTAGCTCTCTTCTCAATTTAGAAGTTGAGAATGATATTATAAAGCTTTCTGGATACCTATCTAGTCCTTGCAATACTTTGAATGCGAAGGTTATTCATGTTTCTAATAAAGTCAACTGTCTATCTTATATGACCTGTAATTATAAGTAGATTCTTTCTGAGTCCTCTCTCCTAACTTTTGGTGCGTTTTTTGCAGGCCTTGCAGTATGTATGTATCCATGTGACTATACTATTTTAAATAGTGTATAATTGGTACAGTGGACATATTGATGTTTGAAAGATTCAAATACCTTAAACAGTTGTACCATTGAGTATTGACCTTAACATGATTAGATGTTAACTCACAATTCGTTTGCAATGGCCCAATTCATAAACTTCTGAGTCAACTGGCTATTAGCTTTGAGCATATGAACTCATGGAATGCTGATAATGAGTTCCGAAACAAGAAGAGAACCAGGTCTCAACCATGTCCAGCTTATCTCTTGAATTTAAGTTGCCCCCGGTCTTTGTATGATTTGGCCTTTGAACCATCAAAAACTTATGTTATATTCAAGGTATAGCTTTTCTTGGCTTCCTTTTTCACGACTCATTGTCTTGTCAGTACTTCAATGAGGTGAGACTGCATATTTGTTTCCTTAAATGATTTTTGTGGGGTTCTAGTCTAGATTCAGACTTTTATGTTATACTTCAGGTACTCTGAGTGTGGTAAATTAACTCCAAAAAGGAACAATGATCAGACATTTTGAACTTCCTTTTTCCCATATTGGAATTTCACTATGAATTATTTATCACAACCATGCACACTATGTAAATCTGATTGTCTGTTATTCCCTCATATTTTAAGGATTGGACTCCTGTCCTAAACTTCATTGAGAAGGCCATCAAAAAATTCTGGGAAGAAAACATAGCTTGTGGTATACCCCCTCACTGCATCATATTTACATGTTTTACAATGAATTACTGGATTTTATGCTTCTACTTATCTCTGAGATGCTTGCAGTAGAGCCCTCCATTCAAGCCGCTTACATGGTAGAAGATCAACAAGAGAAAGCAGATGTCAACATCATTTCAGCAGTGTCAGGTAAAGTTTGTAATTTTGATTATCAAATAGTTTCCTTTGCAATTGCACTAATATAGTCTGATCAATTTTGACCATTTACTTTTGCAGTTTTGCCTTTCTTCATGTCATATATTTAAGATAAAAATTAGGTCCTTATTTAACAGAAAAAGAAAATTGCTTAAATGACTTATAGGCTATGGTGGTTTGCTTTTTCTTTTAACATTTGAAGATTGTGGTCAAAATCTTTGATGCAGATATATCAAAGTTTAGAAACCAAAATCGTAAGGATTGCCAAGACCTCTTCTTTTCCACTTCAGACAAGATAATTCAAGATGACCATCATCAATCCAACAGGGAAGATGCTAGAACCTCCTTTGATTGCTTACATCAAGGGGCCATGATGTTCAAAGAGCAACAAAGTAAGGGAGACTTTCTTTTTCAGACTGGTTATTCTGGCAACTTATTAGATGGCTCATATGCCAAGTGCATGTCCACTGTGATGAGAAAACATAACAGTTTGATGTTGTATGATAACAATAGTTTATTGGAAAGAGATAACTTTTTTGATGCTGAAATCCCCACAGTAGAAAGTTTTTATGATAATGTACCTTTTGAAGCACCGAGTTCTTCACATGGAAGAAAATTCCATAAAGTAGAAGCTGATGTGGTCAATGAATCATTTGAAGACGATTTACTTAATAACTGCAATGGGTACAGTTATGATGTAAAAATTAGTGGGGATTTGCAAAAGCCTTTTCTAAAGAGATGCTCTACACTAGGAAGTATCCTGCATGAGAAGGCTTTGCTTGTAAATGATGAACATGAACTCCAAACTGATAGCTTTTGGAGCAAGCAGAATATTGGGGAAGATTATAGATGTGGTAAGGATTTATATGCCCATCCCTATCCAGAAGTCACAAAAAAGTTGAAGATGTCTAAAGATTCTGGTTTTCTCTTAAGAGTGTTGGCTGAAGAAAATTGTCTCCCTCCAGATTCCTGCGGTTCAGCAGCACAAATAGGAAGCACTGGGTCAGATGATCAGTTATTAAATTTTGAATGGTATCCTGTCTACCAAAAACCCTCATCTCAAGCATCTGCATCGGGTGTTTATCATACAACTGATATTAAAGATGATCTCGGACAAGTATCTAGATACTATAAAAGGATCCATGGTACAAAACGTTTTGGTGACAGAGAAGACAAGTGCAATTTCAACTACAATATGTCAAGGAATACCAATCAACATCACTGTTCATCAAGTTTTGCAAATAGTGGACTTAATTTTGATATTGCTGGTGATTGTGGTGAAATATTCAACAGACTAGTTGACTGGCCTGATTTCAGTGATATACATTCTACGAAATGGTCAGATATTTCAAAGGAGGAGGCAGACTGGCTGTTGCCTGGGTCATGTGTTAAAAGCTGCCAGAGACCTAACAAAAACAAAGGCAAAAGGGATCAATTTAGAAATCCAGCTTTGGAGGAGAATCTTGAAAGATCTAGAAGAAGCTTTTCAGCTCCTCCTTTTCATAGAAGCAAAAGGAGATTTTTCTCTTTAAATCATCCTTCAGAAATTATAGCCCAAAGACAGATTGGCCAAATATCAAAACCTGCTTTCAATCATCGAGGTTTTTTTTTTTTTTTTTCAAATATCGGGGTTTTTTTTTTTTTTTTTTTTTTCATTTTCTTCTGTTGTTCTTTCCTCTTTTGCTCCCTTTTGTAATATAGCAACATTTCCCAATAGCTCAACTTGGACTGATGCTTTGGAATCTGCAGAAGCTAGTGATTTTAAATATCCTCTACAGTCTCCCGTTGCTCTTCACCAAAGCACTAAAGATCTCTCACTGCCAGAATTCAAGTAGGATATATCTTATGACCCATAAGCTACTTAAATGTTGGGAATAATTTGATTAATTTCTTACTGACCCTTGTGGCTTTTCCCTGATCGCAGAACTGATGTGAAGCAGACTTCAGAGGTTCAGGGAGATATGCAGTTTAATGACATTTCAGAGATTGATGGATTTGAATGTTTCAAAATTCAAAACAGTGCTCCATTTGGGGGTGAGTTCAATGTGTTGGTAAAACTTTAGTCTGATCTGATAAGATGACCTCATTTAAAATACCTTAGTTTTGACTGAGAGTCATGTTCAAATTGCCCAGCCTTGAATTTGGAGTGATGGGAAAATCTATTGCTTAGTATCTGGCATATCTTTTCATATTATTTTAAGCAACTAATTTAATTCTAAAATAATTAGTTTCTTTACAATTAATTTCTTTTTGCTATGTAAAGCTGGATGCTGCTTTGTTTAGCATTTTCTGTCAAAAACAAAGGCCAACAAATGTGAAAGTTTTGTAATTCACTCACACCATGTTCTACATCAAAAAAGTTGTTATTCTATTTGGGTTATTCTTGCAATTTATTTCATGTTTATACGATCAATAGTTGAACATGTTCCGAAGATTTGTCTTATCATTCAACTGTTAATTTGCTATTGAACCCATTATATTTGGTATTTCAGAATTGATCTCTAAGAACGTGCAAGATTCCATAGATTACGGGACTAAATGGAGGAACTCCTCACCCAAAATTACAGTTATGTTGTCAATATTTAAGGGCCTATTATGTTACATAGAAGACGTTCATTAGTATGGAGGATGACTGTTTGATCTGACTATTAGTATGACCTTTACACAGAAGAATGATAAATTGGCTAATATTCAAAGTCAAAACAAAATACTTGACATTTCTTCTGGATTCTTGCATCTTGCTGGAGATTTGTTAATTCCTGAAACTATCAGTAAGAAATGCCTTGAGGATGCTAAAGTTCTGCATCAGTTGGATAAAAAATTCATTCCAGTCGTGGCTGGCCGAACCCTTGCTGTTATTGATCAGGTCTGTCTATTGCACATTATAGCAGTATGGTGGAATTTTATTTTTTAGGTGCACTGTAGCCGTTATTGAACAATGCTAAACTGAGGATAAGGATAGTTTCTAAATGGAATTGTCAATGTCCAGAAACTGTATTAGGAATCATACAATTCCTTGGATCTTAGAAGTTTGGCTGCCTATCAATTACTCTGGAACACTTCTATAATATTGTCCTAGATACATGCAATTGCATCTTTACACATGGAAAAATAAGTCTTCCTACGTGTATAATTATTTGCAAGATATCCTGAATGTTCAGTTTATCTTTATTTTGCCCTGGGGGTATAAAGAAGAGTGATGGTTTGGCGAGCCATGAGAAAGACCCAACTTAAGGGGTAGGGATTGCCATTGTGCCTATGTGTGCCACCAATACGGACGATTTCATCATTTTTAAGCCCAAAGTTTGGAGGTCCGTATACCCTTAAGAAAAACAATCATGACAAAATTTTGCATAAACTACAAAGAATAAAAGATATTTGCATATAAATCAATCCGAGTAACCCATGCAGTTAAGTCCCCTCCTGGTTAGCCTAAATGTCTGACCAGTCTATTACTAGGCAACTCCCTCGCGTAGCTCAAAGCATGCAACCCACAACTATTAATTAAACTTTCATTTCACTATCCTTTCAAATGGTATATTTGTCCAACACTACACGGCGTCTTTCCCTCACACATTCTTTACCTTTTCCATACAGATTCATGGCTCCTCTAAAACTTCTCTTTCTTCTTGGACCTCTCAGCATGGCTTTATATCATTACAACAAATAATTAATAAATAAATAAAGCTTTACAAATGCTGCTAAGTCCTAACACAATAAATGCACATTCTCTCAAACATCAAGAACTTAGAACCTCTGCAGGAGGTAAATTAATAGTAGTACTCTTTTTACAGCATGCTGCTGATGAAAGAATCAGACTGGAAGAATTGCGACAAAAGGTAAACTTGTTCGTATTTGACTATGTCAGAAATATTCTCCAGTATTGCTTACGAAACTAGTCAAATACTCAGGTATTGTCAGGAGAAGCAAAAACAATAACCTATCTAGATGCTGAACAGGAACTGGTATGCATCCTATGAATTAGAGAATTTAATGTGAATGTCGATTATGAAATGTTTCCTCAGTTTTAAGATTCTTACACTGCTTGTAAGATGCATGATACAGGTACTGCCAGAAATTGGTTATCAACTACTTCATAGTTACAGTGAACAGATTAAAGATTGGGGCTGGATCTGCAACATTCATGCTCAAAATTCTGAATCCTTTAGAAGGTATCTGGCTTCCTTGAGTGGTTGCATATTTACCGTTACCAAGTTTGTCCGTAAATAATTTATGTTACAGCATTACATAGTTTTGTGATGTCTGTTATTTATATGAAAGTGGCATGCATCTCAGCTCACATAAGATTTCTACCAACCAACCAAACTATAGTTTGGGCTCAAATTGAATAATTGAATAATTTTCTGTGTCAAACTCTTTCAATTTGTTATTCTGGTTTCCTTGATTTATAATTTTGATTACCTTTGCAGGAATTTGGATATTTTCAACAGACCACAGATGGCCATCACACTTGTTGCGGTCAATACCGTTTTCTATTTTTTTCCTCTTCAATTTTTCTTTTCACTACCTGAAAACATATTAAATTTTTCAATGTCTGCATTTTTTTTTGTTAACTTCGTTTTAGATCAGCGCCATATGCCTTGCACATTTTTCATATTACTGATTTTAATTGCAACTACTTGTAGGTACCATGTATTTTAGGGGTCAAATTAAATGATGTTGATCTTCAAGAATTTCTTCAGCAGGTAATAAACATCCTGATCAGAGCCCTGTCTATGTTATCTCCCTTTAGAAATTGGATATTTTACGTCTTTTTAACTTCCAATTTGTCATTACCTTCCAGCTTGCTGACACTGATGGATCATCAACAATGCCTCCCTCTGTCTTACGAGTGCTAAATTTAAAAGCATGCAGAGGTATGTGTCTAATCATATTAACCACGACAATTACATACTCAGGGTTTGGAATGCCTTATTGTGCTTACATGTCTCCCTATACTAGACAAGGGCCATTTCTTCGTGAAAGTAAAGCGGGCTCTGTACATAATTACGTGCAAAGCTGTCTTGATAGCAATCCCACAGACATGAATTATTTGTGGGAAAAGTTTCTCTATTTACGCGTTTTCTGTGTACAACAAATTTACCTTAAATTATTTGTGATAAATTGTGATTGAATGACTGTAAAATTATTTTACACTGTTAGTATACAGCTTATTTTCTTTTTAAAAAGTATGATATTTTTTCCATTATTTTATCACAATAGCTTGCATGAAAACTCCCATCTGTGGGCAACCTGATCCTGTAAGATTTCCTTATTTCTTTGGGAGGTCATATTGCAGCCATCGGTAATTGTAATATTCCTTTAATTGTATCAATAATTTTTGTTTCTGAAGGTGCAATTATGTTTGGTGATTCGTTGCTACCATCAGAATGCTCCCTTCTAATTGAAGAGCTAAAGCAAACATCACTTTGTTTTCAAGTAAGATATATGTTTCCAATGTTGTGCATTTATTGAGAAGAAAGGCAGCGCTCACAATAAATTTGGGATTTGCTGTGCAGTGTGCTCATGGGCGACCAACAACTGTTCCTCTAGTCAACTTGGACTCACTGCATAGTCAGATTGCCAAGCTTCGACTGATGAACGAATGTTCAAGTGACGAGTGGCATGGATTACATAAACATAAAGTGAATGTTGAACGTGCTACATGGCGTTTAAATTCTTCTAGAGGAATTTGAGCCGTTGGACGAAATTGGTTCTTACTATTACCAGTGGGCAGATTAGTTTGACGAATCATTCTTTGGTAATTGAGTGTACAGCAACATTGAGGGAGTAAATAATGCAGCAACCTTGCTACAGTTGCTTATAAGGATATTTACTAGATAACATCATTTTTCGCGAATCTTATGCTCCTGTTTGAATTTGATAAAGTTTCACAGCAATAATATAGATTGAATATGAATGCAAAAAAAAAAAAAAAAAAATCAATGTTTTTTTTCCTTCCCATTAAATGTACCTTTGAGCACTCTCAAAACTCATTTAATTTTCACTTTGTACTGTGTAAAAATCAATTCAAATAATTTATGAATCACATCTGTGAAATCCAGCATGATAGATACTTCAACAACTTAGGCTATGGCCACTATCATGTTTGAACCTGTGCTCTACGTCATGATACAAAAAATTTCCTACTCCTAGTAGTCCTATGTCATGATACAATTTCCTCCCCTAGTTTTACATAGCTATTAGCTACCTAGTTTGCAGTTCAGAAAGTAGAGTCAATTGGCCTCTAAATTTGATGCCTTGAAGCGCTGATAGTTAACGCGCGTCCCAAACTATCAACTTGAGAGATTAAATCGTGGAGCTCAAAACATCACATGAACCATAATTGTCAATTGTTCATTCTGCATGTGTAAAAGTCTCTTCTTTACTACCAGTCGCAGCACACAGGGCCTTCCAGACATGGACCAGCATTTTCATGGGTGGGCGTAAGTTCTAGCAAAACAGGTTTAGATATTCTTTAGTTGGGAAAATAATTCAAAACAACCCATCATAATTATATCCCCAGTTAAATGCCTTATTAGGCTATTAATTCTTCTTTCAAAAAGGAAGCATCTTTAATAGCGAAAAACTCGCTAGTTAGACGGAAACTAACTTTACCTTGAAAACTAACACCATTTCTGATTCCCCACGAATAATCAATGACAGAGTCCAATAACAAGTCACCGGAGTCACACATTCTATTAGAACAGGTTTAAGAATCTTGTCAATGGGAACAAAGCATCGGATGATTTTTCCACTGCAGCAAAGTATCCAAAGACAGAGTAAGTGTTTAACAGTATCAAATATGGAAAAACCATGCTGGGGTTACAAGCGTCACTATGAAGGACAAGCAAGGTACTAGTTAAAAGAGTTGAAAACAAGATTTGAAGCAAGATACTTTCATCATGAGCCCATTATGTATTTCAAAAATCAACTATCCATGACAGATACGAAACAAAGCGTACATTATAATGTTTCTCTAGTATGAACAGAAAAAGAGACCAAAACTAGCACAAGGGTTCCAATGTCCAAGCTTTTTATTTTGTGGACAATAACTACAAAGTAAACAGTCCTTTACAAAACCAAATGTATATTCCTGCATTAGGCTTTACGCGAGCTCTTAACAAATGTTCAATGTTAACTGAATAATCAATCACCAAAAAGCATTACCTCACATAATGAGTCTCAAGCTGTACTCCAAAAGCCGGCATAATCACAACAGACTCTGCAAGAAAAATTACAAGCATCGTGAAAATGACAAAATAAAGTTTTAAAATTAAAACATGCATCAAATGAATATATTTCCTTTTCCTGTTTACTATAAAACATCAGTTAATCTTTCAGAACATCAAACCCTAGTGGCAGGTAGGCAGGTCCTCACCTTTCTTAACAGGCTTCCCAAGTAACAACTTAACAAGAAATATGTCAAAAAGCAAGCTGTAATACACAAGACTAATTGATGTTTCCTGTTAATAGAAGGGATATAATCAAGCAAAATAGAAGTAAAGGTAAAAGCCACAATCTTCAAAATCCTTGAGCCATTCGAAAACAAGTGCCGGAAGACATACCTTAAGAACACACAGATACAAGGCACAAGCTAATACAAGAAGTGCTGTAGCGTACACAAAAACATATTTAGCACTACCACTCCTCGAAACTATATGGTGTATGTCAACATCTTCAGAGGGATATTTCTGATCATGCACATAAGTATATCTGCCATTACTTATTGAGAATATGACCATCCTGAAAAAAAAAATGAAAAAAAAAAGTCCAACATTTTTTCTTATACTTGCACGCATAGTTATCAATTCCAAACAGCGGCGAGGAGTGGCCAGCCCCAAAACCACTAGAGGGATAGCACATAGCAGGATGACCACTATTTTGAAGATTATAATTTACAAAAACAAGTTAAATGATCAAAAACAAATTAAAAGATCCAAGATTAAAGACATATTTATAAGCTAAACACCCACAAGTGAATAAGAACAAAAGTCAAAGGATAGAAAAACATAGAGAAAAGTGATGAGATCAAAACTCATTAGAACTTAGAAGACAAAAAGAAGAGTGAAATTGCTTGACAGAGAACAGAGAGGATGCACTCTTACTTGCTCACTTTATGATTTTATTCTAAAGGCAATGTCACTTCTTCACAGGAGTTAACTCCCACAGTCTTCATAAGCTAATGTTTTAGTTTTACACCATGGTGCCAATAGTGATAAGGCAAAGGTTCCTGAAATATGATGGATCAGATAATTCATTTCCATCAAAGCCAAATTAAAGTTAAAAAGTATCAAATTATATGTGGCAGGCAATCCTCATTTTCGTGAAATTTAACACATAACAATGTCCTCACAACGAATATCAGAATGCTCAATAAAATTACCCAAACCCTCAATTAATAACAGAAGAGAAAATAAGTGAATTTGATCAAAACACCCTATTCCATGTTTCAAACAAAAAAACGCAAAGAAGGTGAGAAGAACAAGAAAGTGCGAGACTTGCCTTATGATCTGCTTTGGAAGAAAGGAAGCAAACGGCGGCGAAGGGAATGTTTTGATGTCCGACACGACAGTGGAGTTCGATGCAGCCCAAGTGTTTATTAATTTTATTTTATTTATTTCGTCTGTCTTTGCATAATTAATTAAAAAATTAAATGAAGAATAAATTACCAATTAATTTTTCTTGAATGTACTTGCCAGTATTATCCTACCAGAGTTTTTAAATATATACAAAATATCAAAGTGTAAACTGAAAAAAGATTTAACGATAAATTATTCCCATTAATTTATCCTATATTGTAAAAATTTAATTAAAATGTAATAATAATGTAATATTTTTTATACTGACATTATATTAAAATTAAATTTGATTGTATATTTAATGTTGGGAATTACCATATATAGTTCTTATATTGTAAATATAAAATAGTCATTATGTAAAAGCGAAAATAAAAATAATGACGGGAAGTATAACACAATAATTTTTATGTAGAAAACTTTTTTAATTAGTTTAGGATTTAGTAAAATAAAGAGTACAAATAATGTTTTTCTTGTCATTATTTTTATAGTTTGATAATGAGGTATAATTTATTGTTATCGAATTAACTCTTATAAAGAAAAAATGATAAATTTAGTCATAATTTAATATTCTAGACAAAGATTGAATCTCATTCTTATCACTTTTATAAAAAAGTTAGATATAATATTTTTTACATTAATTTTATTTTTAAATAAAATACACATGAAAAATAAATATTTTATCTAAAATTAATTAACATGAGATTATTTTATCTTCATCATTAACATCTAGCTCAAATATTAAGTATGTAAGTATGTTAGAATTACCTCTCAAAAAATAAATCCAATCTTTACCAAAAAATGAAAAAATAATCGGATATATTTCAATCAATTTCTCATAAAATTAACAAAACAAATAATACAAAAGTATTTTTTTATCTATAAAAATTATATTGACAATAATAAAGTTTGAACTTATGAACTTATCAATACTATTCCTAATTACACTGCAACACCAACCCTATGAATTTTTTTTTTCCACTCTATTATATTGATTATTGAGTCACCAACAATAAGTTAAAATGTTATCAATATGTTAGCCTTTTTTTTCCCATTCGTCTTAAGTTACCAATATGTTTAGTTGAGACCCTCTTACAAGTCTGACTTGTCAATAAAAGAAACAATTTATATATATAACAAATCATAAATATGCTAGAATATCAGTAATTTATATTTTCATTAACAATAAGAGTATTTACTTTGCTCATAGATACTCCATTTATTTGATGGAAACGAATATGAAGGAAAAAGTAACATGTGCTTGTGGTGAATGGTATCCATCAGCCAACCTTGCAATTGATTGCATTAGAGTTGGACATAAGCTTACTGTGCATGTTTGTCCGCCGCCACAACACTTCATTTGTCTCCCGCATATTGTAAGACAGCCAGAGACACTATTTTTAGTTTCGGAAATACTAGAACACACTTATCACTATTTTAATTCATTTCTCTTACTTTACATTATTAGCCTTAGTTGGTTCATGAGGAGGCTAACTTCTCTGTTGTAAATGCTTGCTCAAAATTATTATGCATAATTTTGTAATACCAAGTTCAAGAACTAGTATAAACTCAAAATTCTAACTAGACTGCTGGATCCACCTATGGAATTTGCACTGATATAACTGCAGAGTTGTGTTTTAAGAGTCAGGGTTATGTAAATGTTTGAGACACTTGTTGATTAACAGTATGTTTGGATTAGCGTGTATAAATCACATCTACGAGAAAAATTACGTTAAAGAAGCTACAATGCCTTAGTTCTATAAAACATGGATCAAGATTGACGTGATACTAAAGCAAACATGTACTAAGTCATCATCCAAAAATTAGAATATTACCCCTTCTCAATTTTTTGTGGTGACGCACTAGCCTTAGTCCAAGATATCTTGACATTTGTATCGTATGCATGGTTATTGAATCAAGATTGTTGAAAGAACTATTTTACAAATCGTGAATTGTTATGTATAATGAATCGTACATACTAGATAGGTAATCCTAATAATTCACTAGAACATGAAATTATTCGCAAAATAGGAAACTTTGGTCTGTTATGCAAATCCACTCCATGGATTTCTACATGTGGAAGGTCTGCCAGATGGATCTACAAAGTGGCATGTTAAACATTTTCAAATCTGTACATCCACATAAGTCAATTTCAATGGAGCACGTTATTGTCTAGCACACTAATACATTATATTTTTAATTAATATCCAAGAATTGTTACCATCTTGTATCAAAACTGAATCAAATTTGACTTTCATTCACGATACATAGTACATGCAGATGCCTCTCACACAATTCATTATTAGTAATGGTATTTGACTTTCGTAAGAATAACAGTTTAACACATTTACCAAAATTGAAAAAATATTATAACTACAATCATCAATCAATTTTCTGCTTTGAAAAAAATAAGCCTAATAATTCCACTCATGTACAGTATGTATTAACGCAACTCAATGCTTCTATATAACAAGCATTCACATCAACTACTATATATGTACACAGCAATATCAATTAGGTGGTTATCTTCAAATTTCAGTAATCATGTATAAGCCTTGCTCCATGTGCAGAATTCTTTATTGTCACAATGATAATGTAAAATGGTACTTCTCACTACCTCTTAAAACATATCCTTTGTGAGTTCTTCAACCAGATCATCAGTTATTAGCCATTCTATATCTCTTTCCAATATATTGATCTCGTCATTTATCAATCCAGACCAAGGGATGGATCCTAGGTGTTGAGCCACCAAAGTATCAAGTGAATAAGTAGATATGTCAGATGGAGGATATAAAGAAACACGGATAATGTCCCATACTAAGTTCAACAGTTCCTTTCCAGAAGGTGGTAGCAACATGGAAGAGTTGCTTAATTTCCTTCTGAATCTAGACAATGTCAAAGGTGGACCAAGAACAACTGAAAGTGCCTCATTTAACAAATCAAGCAAAACCTTGTGGTCATGCTTATTCTCACTCTGATCCTTCATACAGCTTTCATCATTTTCGTTGACCCGTTTCTTGCGAGATTCTTCCACTTCTTGAAAAACAGAGTTGCCAATAGGCTTTGCAAACGTGTCCCCTCTTAATAAAGATTTATCCCACGAACCAAAGTAAAGACCAGAAGCAACAAGTAGATCTCTTATGTAAGATTCTGCTGGATCCTCTAATTGATCTAATTCAGACTCAGCAGGCTCCTGTTTCACAGTGAAGTCCTCACGACCATTGGATTCAAGTTGATTGAGTTGTCTCCTTAGCTCTGTTGCATCAACAAGCAAAGAAATGTATTAGCAAAAATTTGACATCTAAACAAAGTGGGAAAAGATATTCACACTATTGAAAAGAAGAGCAGAAAGAAAATTCATCCTTTCTTTTCTTGTCACCTTCATACATGGAAAACTTTTCTCATCTCTCATACTTTCTAGACAGTAACACCAAAATCAAATCAAAACACAGGTTGATCCCTTTGAAATATGAATCCGTCTATAATGTTCATAACATTCAAATCCAATTCCACAACATTAACAAAGTTTTTTTACTAAGCTGATCGGTGCCATACGAAAGCAAAGAACTTTCGCTTTTTCTGTTAACCTCTTTCTGTAATTATACCAAATTAATAAGTTATCAACTTCACACATACCCAGTTCTTTAATTTTTTGAGCTTTATAAGATATATAAAAAAGATCCAGATATGACAACTCATGTCACAGGTGGTGAATGAAAGAAAAAGTTGGAAAAAAAATAACATAACCAGATATATATACACATGGTTGCAATAACAGAAATTATATTGCCCTTAAATTGAAGCAATTTATCCCAGGATGGAATTCTGAAGTGAACTTAATATAAAAACCAAACTCTGACCTTGCAAACTAGTTCAGTAGCCATTTGAAGAAAAGAAAAAAGGTTGTTTATTAATACAACTTCATATTGCACATGCAGTAAAACCATAATAAACTACCTTTTCATGAATCAAGTCTATGATATCATTGCTCAATGTATGAAAGTTAGAATTATATCATACCATTCAAACCAGAGCTGATATCTCTGAAAACTTGGGGCACAACATTATCGTCTCTTGAAGACACGTCAGGAGTTGATATTGGACTTAAATATTCAGTCCGCCTCCAAAAGTCTTCATGAACACTGCTACACACAGATGCAGGACTCGGAGGTACCTCAGTGGAGTTCTCCTAAAGAGCACATGACAGAAAATCTGGTGATTAGATAACAACAGCATATGAAATATAATTCAAAAGAAAGTCATCATTGAGAACGGTAAAAACATATATGACAAACTTACATGCCTCTCACCACAGTTCATGAGAACTGTTGGTCCACTTGTGACATCTCTCACCATAGGACCATATTCATTGCCATGTGATTCTACCATTGACTGAATCCTTCTGCCAAAAAGCCTCCTTCTTAGAGCAAGACTATATCTAAAATTGGAGACTCTTTCTTTAATATTAAATCTGTCCTTTTTTGGTTTTTTGACATCAACAGACATGGTTTCAACAGCTTCAAGCTTTCTCCGAATCTGAGCACCAGTTAAAATGTGGCGGTCCTCTAGAAGAAGCTTCCCAAATGATGTTCCTGATCGTGATACAGGAGCAGACAAGGATCTTACAAGGTTCCTTGGGGACAACTCCTTGTGGAGCAACATATTCTCATCCAGTTCATGCCTGAAAGATCCTGTTTGTATTGATGTGTCCTCTTTGGAAATTTCCCAGTTACTTGCATACTTCCTAATATCCCCCATTTGCTTTAGTCTAGCTTTATGGTTGTCTAATGCAAGTGACCTTGATTTTCCCTCAGGAATGTCAGCACGTGTTTCATTTCTCATTACGTTTCTTAGCCTCTCTGACCAGAACCTCCTGGTATCTCTGCTGACAATTTCTGGGGAGCTTGGTCCATTTAACTGCATTTCGCTTTTGTATGATCCTGTTGATTCTGAGGGGAGTAAATTTGTTTCAGCATCTCTAGCCACACTTTCTTTGACTTGCTTTACTATATGACGGGCTATTAGTTTAGGATTAGATGGTTTTTCATTGTAAGGTGTCTCAATTCCACTCCCTCGAATCACAGAACCCTTTTTGACAATTTTCCCTTGCAGTTCACATTTCAAACGCTCTTTCACCTCTTCAAGAAAATCCTCTATACTATTTCTCCCTTGTATAGTTTCTGAAGAAATGGTCCAATTCTCTTCATGGTTGCAAATGCTATCAGGACCAGGCTTCAAGATAACAATCCTGGTGGGAGAAGATGATATGTCTAATCTGTTGCAGGATTTCATCATTAAGGTCTCCTCAAAGTCTCTACTTAGTGTTCTACTCCTTGGAGGAAAGGTTTTCCTTTGCATAGCTGGGATTAAGTCCATCATGTTACCATGATATTCTGAACTATAACTGTCAGGTGTCTTTGTTTTGAATGAACGGCTGTCAAGATCTGCAAGTTTCCCTGCTCCTGCCCTTTGTAAAACTGAATCATTATGTGCCACCTTTTCCTTCTTCAGGTTTTCTTGAGCAAGCAATCGTCTAGGAACACTACCAATATCAACAACCTTTGAACACTCCAGAAACCTTGCTGATTGATATGCTTCAAACTCTTCCTTGAATTTCTGGAGTTCCTCTTCTTGAGGATGATCTCGTGGCCTTGGTTCTCCAAAACTATGATTCCATCCATCATCATCATCATCATCTATGTCTACATATAATGATTCAAAATCCATCTGGCTAGAAGAGTTAAAGTTGGAAGAACCCCAACTAACTGAACCCCTTCTATTCATTCCTTTGTCTGAAGACCTCTTCCCCTTATTTTCAATTATTCTTTTATCTGATGGAACAACATATTTAGTCTCCAGTGGCATCGAATCTATCCCCATCAACCTTGCCACAAGGCTTGGCGCATTTTGTCTGGTGCTTGATTGTTTGGATAGCTCCTCATTGATCAGTTTTTTCATTGAACCCACATTTGAAGAACGATTATTCTCTTCTTCAACTTGATAAGTGTACTGAAAATGCAAATAAGAGGATAATTCAAGTCGAGAATACATGAAAAGAGGCAGGAAATATGATGGTGTTTTAGAACCTTAACAAGACAAGAAAAGAGAAACTTACTGGTAAGTCTCCTTCTGGTCGGTAGTTCTGAGGTGTTTCTACTTGCAAATCTAGACTATTTCGAGGAGCATCCAGACCTTGATTACACAATATAATTACAAAATCAGAAACAGCATGCTAAAATCAAGACAGAACTTTCAAGACTTCTTGACTGTTGAGACAAATGGGGGGAAACCCTGAATGTCAGAAAGATATCTCCAAAGTTATAACAAAGTAGTCAGCCTATTCAATTAAATTGTTTTAGTTAGATTTCTTCTTAGTTCATCTTTAAAACCAATTGGCATTAAGAACCTATTTCAATACAAGTTTAGAAGAGCTTTTGAGAGCTTCTTTATTAAAAATAGTTTTTTTTTTTTTTTCGGTAGAGAAGTTTTTAAAAACACTTCTAACTTGTATTCAAATAAGCTTTAAGTGAAATTTCCCAATAGATATTTAAGTTACATCCAAGAATTGACGCATGCGATGTAGGACTTTCCAACACCCCCTCCAAATATGTCTCAAGACAGGTGATGCTTACCAGAATAGGCAATACACAGAGATAGGCTACGAGCTCTAATACCATGTTAGATTTCATCTTAAAATAAATTAGCATTACATGAAATTGTTCAGCAAATATATAAGCTGCACTACAAGAATCGAGGCAAACGGTGTGGGTCTTTCCAACAGTTTCATCATATCAATAACCTTTCTAATATTGTAAAATGTAAATTTGGTAGACAAATTAGCTATTAGCAGTAATGAATCATAAGAAATTGTAATACTGTACATCTTCCACTTGCAGTAATGATTCATAAGAAATTACTGCAGAATTGAGCTTCCTAATAGTGTATGCCCTCAGTGGAATATGCAAGAGGCATAAACGTAAGAAGGTTTTTCGCAGAATGAGTGAAATTTTTCTTTATTATAAATAAAATAACACCTACCACCAGGATGTCTCTTACGAGCAAGGACTTTTTTGGCCATCCTCCCCTGATGGAATTCAAAAAAGTGTAATAAGCCTCCCATACAGACAGAGGGTCTCCTAAAAGACTCTCATGTCGTCAATTTCATCTTCCATGTCTCACTCCATTAAACTTTCACTGATCTTGTTTTTCTTTTTGTTGGTGGTACTCCTGTGTAGTTTGTTTCCTAGAATGCGACGTTTTAATCAGGTATCAGTTAAAGAAAAATAAGCAGTCTGAAGGAAAAACATAAAAAATCATAACATCTTAAAATTACACAAAAAATAAACATAAGATTGATCTGAATTGCATTAAAAGCCAAAAAAGAGAAAAAGACCTAAAAGTAAAATAGAAACCGATCTACATATGGAAAAGAAAAAGGCACATGATGACTAATTATGTTTAGCAGACTAGTAAAAGGATGGGTTGGTTTACATGAGGCATGTAAGCCTCTAGGTCAATTCAGATGCTATGATCACACATTCACACACATTCAACAACTGCTCTCTTTTGCAATTAGAATGCTTTTATAGATGGATGACTAATCAGCTGCCGTATGACCTATTAGTGATTGTAGAGCAAAACTAGCATAAAAACTGATCAATAAAAACAATCAAGTATTAGGGGTAGCATGAAGACCAATATCTTCCGGTGTTGCATAAAACAATGAATTGTTTGAAGATTCATGTGAAGAGGTCAAGCAAAATGTGAAAACTGTCTTTCATGCTGATCCAAAGGAGAAAGATGCAATTGAGTGATATAAAAGCATCCCTGATGACTCAAAACAGTTTCATCTTCATAATTCACTCACGAAAAGCCAATCAGAGAAACTGAAAAACCCAATAGAAGGTTTCTGAGAAAATGCATGAACCCAACGAGTCCAGAACTCTGAACATTGAACAACAAACATTGCTGTACTAAACAAGTGATTCACTGCCTCAAATCCCCACAGCTTTCCAAGGAACACAAAATGCAAAGATGAGAAAAATACAGAACAAATAAGCATACCAGTGAGTGTTGAGAAGATTCAGAAGACAGAACGTACGGAGAGGCAAAGCATGACCTCTGAATCAATGAAAAGGAGAAGATGGGTGAGGTTGAAAAGGAATAAAGCTTCAAACTTTGTGAAAAGATTGTAATGGGTAGAAAAATTGAAAGTGGGATGAATGGTGTGTAGTGAGAGATTAAAAGTTTTATGAAAAATAATAAGAAGGGTGATGATGACAGAAGAAAAGGCTACGAGGTTCATAGCCGGAAATAATCATAAGTGTACCAAACCGGACCTTCTCTCTCTGCTGTGCTATTTTATTTTTACTCATGCAATTCTTTTCTTTTATTTCTTCTTCATAAGAATCATAGCTATCATACTCGCATAGCCCCATAGTATTGTCTTTTTTATTATTTCTTTTCTTTGTTGTGATAAAGATACCCCATTAATACATGTAAAGGGAGACATGTATTAGAAGGATGGTTTTATTTAAATAACAAGAATAATAAATTAAAAGTATATTCACTTACTCCAAAAGTGAGTATTAGTTAATTTATTTAACTCAATAACTTACAAATTTCTAATAGATAGATAAAATTTACAATTTTTAAAAATAATATTATTAAATAATTCATTTTATTAATTTAAATTGATGAATAATTAACAAAGTATTTTATATGTTGATTTGATTTTTTGTTAATTTGAATTTATATCATGAAATATTATATAAATTTATATTATACAAAAAGTTATTAATGAATTTTTTTAATAATCAAATCCACAATTTTTTTTCAAAATTTAAAAATGATAATACTATACATATTTGCTAATTATCGTTGATTTTATCAATAATTATGTTATGGTGATTTTGGAGTTAATTGTTAAGAAACTCTCTAAGAAATTAGAAATTCTTATGAGTTTTAGGTGTTTAAGATCTCTAAATAAAAGTAGAGTTTGACTCTAAGAGGAGGGTATATAAGATTTTATTTAAGACTCAAACTTCATATATTCATTCTTAAAAAAATTAAGAGAGATAAACTAAAGAAGTGCCTCGGAGTCGGTGGAAACTCATTTCCTTTACTAACCTTTAGGTGATTATAGGATCCTTCTTCTAAGAGTTGTGGTTGTTGGTTATTGATTCAAAGCTCAAAGAGTTAAGAATCAAAGTTGGTGCAGAGCTTCAGTCTTAGCTTAGAGGTGTTATGTATGTGATGTGTTAATTGTGGTATTGTTCATGTGCTATGTAAAATTGTTGTTGAATGGCATGGTTGTGGTGTGAGTTGATATGTTCTAATGTGGTTAAGTTGTTACCTTTTTAAAGATGTTGAATGTCATATTGAGGTGTTATGGTTGTGTTATGTTGTAACTTGTAAGTCATGATGTTGTGGTGGTTGTGTGGTTTACATGTTAGCATTGGTTGTATAGTTATTTTACTTCTATACTTATTATATATTTATTCTTTTGAATATCAATTTACCCTTATATATTTCCTGGTGATTAGATTGTAATAATCATATTTATATGGAAATAAGGAAGGATTAGGCTAAAGATCTTGCTTTTAAGGCCATGTTTGATGATGACTATAATGATCTTTTTGGGTCACTCTAACGTAACTGATTTAGATATGTTTTTTAATTGACAACTTAAAATATTTATTTTTTAGTATTGAATCATTATACATATTTATATAAGTATAGTGTTATATTTTATTTTAGTTGTTGAAATTTTACACGTATTTATAGTATTGTGCATATATCATATATTATATGTATTTATCCTAGGCATTAAATATTTGTCTGCTACTAATAGTTAAACTATTAAATATAAAAATCATAACAGGTTATTATAAAAATTATTTAATATTTTATTTTATTAATTTAAATTAATTTAAATATATATAATAAACTATTATAATTTTTCATAATATATAATTTAAATAAAATATTTATTTTTATATAAGTAGTGATTACAATAATTGTAACAATTTTTAAACATATAATTTTGTATATACTAATTTATCTCGCTTATCACTAAATAAATCTGAGTGATTATAAAATATCTATTTATATACATATATAACTACATAAAATATATATTTGCAATGTAAATAAATCATGAAAAATAAAAAATAGTTAAAAAAAACATGATAGTAATAGTACAGAATGAATATTAGATATTAGCATAATTATGTTACATTATTTGAAAAATTGTCTGAACCGTGTTTCGAATAATTAAAATAATAATATTTTTAAATAAAATTATTATAAAAGAATTATTTAATTTAATATTTTATAATTTAAATTATTATTTTATTTATTCGGAAAGGATTTGGCATAACGGTCACAGGCGAATCATTTTCCATATTAGCATTATTATTAAATAATAGATTAAGTGAGTGTGAGATGGTACAAACTAATTATTGTGACGATTAGTTAGTTCACGCAACACAAGTAAACAGAACAGCTCAGAGGTGACAGAGATAGTTGCTTTTTGCAGTCTCCATTTGGATTCTTTTATTTCTCTTTTCACTTCTCACTTCTCACTATCTCCGTTAGGGGTGAGTAACAGGTGGGTTTGGTCGGGTTCGGGTGAAAAATGTCCAACTCATTGTAAATTTACTTTGAAAAAATAAAAAAATATTTTCATTCATTTATTTCTTCATATAAGTTTTTTTAGATTACTATAATATTCTTTTTTTCATAATAAGACATAATTTATACAGTAGTATATTGTGAGATTTTTTGAATTTAATTGTAAATTTGAGTGAATATTTATATAACTCTTCCATCCTCCATTATAAATTTCATATACTTATTTTACGTATTAAAAAGTTTGTATACAAAATAATAATAAAAAATTAAAAACAATTGCGGGTGGCATGGCCCTTATAACTTACAAGTAAGGTAGCTTCAGCCATATATGTATGTACGTAAGTACGGGAACATGAGAAAATTATGAAAATGGCTACTTTTACACCTTAACGATGTATATATACTTTTGATAAAATAAAAAGTAATAAACATGATTATATATATATATATATATAAGTGTAAAAACTAATTTAGAAAATAAATACAAATCTTTTAGAGAATTATGAAATAGGTAAAAAAAAATAGAGTTGAGAAAAATAAATAAAAGAGAAATAAGGAAGTAAAAGTATATTAAAAAATAAAATATAAATTTAGTTATTTAATTTACAAAAAAAGAAAGAGATAAATAAAGAAGAGAAAATAAAATAAAAATATATGTTTTTTTTCAATAAATACAGTAAAACATTAATGTGATTAACGTTAGCAAAATATTAATATTTATTTTTCATTTAACATTACTTGAAAAATTAAATAGTAATGAAGCATAAATAATAGTTTAAGTTGTATTTTTTTTGTCTTTTTATTTTTTGTTGATTTGTTATTATGGTCTCCAATTTTAAAATACAAACATTTATTCCTCCTATTATAAAAAAAAATACAAAATTTTAATTTTATTATTAATTTAATATTTTATTAATTATTAAATTTTAATGTTGTTTAATAATTTATCATCACTTAAGTGATATAATATTTAATAACGTCATATAAAAATAAAAGCTAAAAAATAACATATAAATTGTTTATATATATTTTTATGAGTGATTGATATTTATTTTATTAATAAAATTTTATTTATATTTTTTAGTTTTTTATTTTTAAATATCATGTTATTAAATATTAGATTACTTAAGTATAAATAAACATTAAAATTTAACACTTAAATGCTAAAAGTTGATAATTAATAAATGTTAATTTATATGAAAAACAAAAATTTCATATTTTTAAAATTAAAGATATTAAATGTCTATATTTTAAAATAAAGAAAAAAATCATAGATAAATAAAAATAGAAAGTACAATTTAGTCTAAATAATATTATATATATGTGAAATAATAAATAACTAATATAATTATAGTTTTTGTAATTTGATAATTATATCTTTAATTTAAAAATAGTTGAACAATTATATCTCAATTGTTTTAAGAGATAAATATTGTTAGTACAAACATTTTCACTTTTATGTATAAAAATTTATAAATATTGGATAAAACAGATAAGTACTATCCCCACCGTCCCATTTTGGCATGCATAAATCATTGGTTACATACATGCAGTAAAATGTTATGATAAAAAAATAGATTTGTATGTACCCAATTCACTTTGCAGGCAAATCATGTGAGACCTATCAACGCATTCAATTTGTGTCAGTAACTAATATGGTTTATTATTATACAATTGATTTATATAAATATGATTATTTAATTATTTAGTGATTATTAAATTAATATTTCTATTATTATATTATTAATTTAAATAATTTATAATATATTTTTAATTTAAAATTATATATTGATTTATATGCTTTAATCATTTTATAATTTAGTTACTCTATTAGTTTTATATTAATTATAATTTTTTGCAAGGCTCTTTAAGACAATATGATATAAATTTTATTGAAATTTTGTAGGTAAGAAATATACACGATGTAAATATTAAAAAAAATTATAACACAATGTATTATTAATAATTGTTGATTTTATTAAATTATGTATTATGATGATTTATTGTTTAATATTTGAGAAACTTTGGGAATTTTCATGAATTTTAGTCGTTTAGGAGTTTCTTTGAGTAGAGGTCAAGTTTAACCTGTTGGGAAACAATATATAAGATTTTTCATAAGACTTGAGCTTCATAAGGCTTGCTTCATAAGCCCATTATTAAGAGAAACATTGAGAGAAGTTAGAAAGATGAGCTATGGATCCTGAATTTATTCTTTCTTTTCCTATCCTTCCTAAGAGTGTAGATGACCATGGTTGAGTAGCGAAGTAGTGATATGAAGCCCTTGGAAGCTGAGAATTAGAGTCTTCAGAATCTGAAAGACCTCACTTTCTTCTTCTTCTACCCCTGATTCTAAATGATTTGGAGGTAAGGGAAACTAGAACTTGATTCTTTATTGATTGGTGAAGTTAAATGTTGTTTGAATTTACCAAAATCATGGTTGTGTTGATGATTAAGAATCAAATTCTTATGTTGTGGGGTCTTAAGAGTTTCAAATATTTTGGGGAGATTTTTTGGGTGAATGATGATCATCAATTCATAATTACATGTAGTTATTTTGGGGAGAAATAAACTACTTGTGATGTGTAAAGTTTATTTTTGGCATTGCATGTTGGTTTTCTCGAGTTTCAGGTACAAATTGAGCTAAAACATGAATCTGTCAAGTGTAAAATTCATCATTATGTCAAGCGCAACTTCAAGGTGTTAGACATGATGTAAGTCAAAGGTTTTCTAC